TGCGTCTGTGGGGGCGACCGCTGGATGTAATGGACTTGAGTCGAGGACGGGTTGATTTACGAGTCAGTCTGCGGCGAGATTTTCCGTACAGTCGCTAACCAATTGGACAGTACTTTAGTTATTCCTCTCTGTTAGCTACCTCCAGTATTACCCGACGGGAGGCATTACATTTCATATTATTGATCCTAATATCTGCTGAAACATTCAATATATTGGCAACAAAGAATTATAATGTTCTTGTAGAAAATATGATCCCATCTAAACTACGTTGAGAGAGCTGTATACTCTGTAAAGTTATGTCATGTTGACCTTTTCTCGCGTTAGCTAGGTACTAAAATTACTTTGTTGGACGAGGTTTGCTAGGATACCTTGAGATGATTTCGGGGCTTAGCGACCCCGCGGCCCGGTCATCGACCAGGATAAAGGAAATAATTGTCAAAATAAAGTATTAATCCAGTATGGCTATTCAGCACACCTATTTATGTTCCACTTAGTAGGATATAAGCTTAACTAAATATTTTCCTGTTTGAATAATATTTTATTTATATAAATTGCAGATGATCAGATTACAGTGATTAGTTAACAGGTACAATATTTGGATATTTATAGTCATTATTTATGCGCAGCGTTTCAGGACATGAGCTGAATTATAAGATTTGTTTGCCTATCTAAGATATACGCAAAATTATGAAGCAAGGATGTGAGCCCTATTGCTGTTAAAATCTGAATCGTGTTCCTCAGTTCTTGTTTTACCTAATTATCTAATGCGATATCAAGAGTGTATATGATATTACTTTTTTTTAATTTCGAGCCAGATCTTTTTGAGGACGATAAGTTAATATTTAGCTAGGAGTATAATGAAACTGCTTACCAAATAAATGCCTGAGATGACCTTGAATCAAGAGATGAAGGCTAAATAAACTCTTTGAGGTTGACATTTTTATTTAGGTATTATCACAACTCGGCAAGAAATATATGTATTAGAAGAATAAGTCACAACACCGTGAAAGGAACAACAAACACTTAGCCCAAACCTTATTCAAGTGACACATTTGCGTTTGTCCTCCTTTCCGTCGAAAACGAACTAAAATGCTATTACTATTTTGCTTTTACTAAGTGGGTTCAGTCTTTTCATGCGCATTCGCCTATGACCTAACCTTCTATATAATGTGAAACTAGCTATGATTCAGTTTTATGTCGCTGTCTACATCGACTATACTTGGCTAAGTTGCTATGCTCCTACCTTAGCCAAGGTGGCGTGAACTCCAACTGCGGTTTACACATTTACTGCCTTCAATTTAGACCTGGTCACCTGAGACAATAATCGCGTGGCTGTAATAATCACATCAACTACTGCTCGTGTTGAGGTGTCATCCAAATTGATTTTCGTTACGCTATAGGAAAGTGTAATTTTATACGGGAAATATCTGAGGTAGAACTAATTTGGGTTATTGTGACAGCACAGTCACGTCAGGGACCGGTATTGTACACTACTTGAAATGTAAACATTACAATGTTAAGGTGGATGGAGGCGGGGGGGGGGAAGCTACACACTACAGTACTAAAAATCTTGCGATTGAGAACCTGGAGGGGGAAGGATAAATAAGTAATTATCAAAAGAAAAGTTCATACTACCTGGCGCGGTACACTTTTTGGTGAGATTTGTGGTCAGGAGCCGGTTGGGAGCCGGTCGGCCGAGCGGACAGCACGCTGGACTTGTGATCCTGTGGTCCTGAGTTCGATCCCAGGCGCCGGCGAGAAACAATGGGCAGAGTTTCTTTCACCCTATGCTCCTGTTACCTAGCAGTAAAATAGGTACCTGGGTGTTAGTCAGCTGTCACGGGCTGCTTCCTAGAGGTGGAGGCGTGGTCGAGGACCGGGCCGCGGGGACACTAAAAAGCCCGGAAATCATCTCAAGAATCATCTCAAGATAGCATTACAGTAGATGCCTCATCTACAATCCTAGTAACTGCTCCATCAACATCCACCACCATATTGTGATATTTATAACAAAATTCTCAGGAAGTTATAGACAAAACTGAAAAAAAATCTTCTTAATCGGACACGGCGAGCCTTGCTTCGTATGTCAAGTTGATCTTGTATTTAAAGGGACCGTCCGATAGAGAGGGATTTTGTTTTTTATATATATTTTTATTTTTTATCTCTCTTCGCGGGAATTTCTATAAATATCACGATATCGACGTTTAAATGATTACTAGAGTTATTATCAAGTATCGGTTGAATTTTACCTAAGTAAGACAGTTTTGAGAAATAATCAAAATATTTGGGTTAGGTGACGTAGTCAATTAGTTTTGGTTCAAGATAGAAAAAATGCAGGCGATGAGTCACAATAACGTGGCTGAAGTATGTTGACCAGACCACACACTAGATGTTGAAGGGACGACGACGTTTCGGTCCGTCCTGGACCATTCTCAAGTCATTCTCATCGACTTGAGAATGGTCCAGGACGGACCGAAACGTCGTCGTCCCTTCAACTTCTAGTGTGTGGTCTGGTCAACAAGAAAAAATGTACATCATAGATGTTGAAATGAATGTATTTATTATCAATGCATAACAAAAGTTACCGCAAAACGGCTATCGCAAAAGTTAAAACTATCTAAACTAAACTAAATTTATCGTTTAGCATTAATCTTCAAACGATAGCCTGCGTCAAGTGAACAGTATAAGGTTTTCTCGAAGTCAATACATCTTGTTAATAGACATTTTTCTACTATAGAAAATTATGACTATTGTATTTTATTCAAAATCCCTATAATTACCAAGATTTTACATTTGCATGTCTATTATTACCTTATACAAAATTTATCATTATACATGTCATTAATTAGAAGAATTTTGGAGCAAGTGGTATCATTGCTCACAAACTTATTTATGAACGTAAACAAGTTGTGGTCATTTCAATGTTTTTTTGTTCTTTTTTTTAGTTCAACATATTTGTGTTTCCCTAATGGCCTATAAGAGAAAATTTTAAATGAAAAAAAAATCATGCATATTTGAGAAGTATATTGCCTTGTATCTACATCAACCTGTTAACTAACAGGCTTTCCCTTCCTATAGCTCATGGTAAGTCTTACCCACTAGTTTCCCCTGAAATACGACCCACCAGTCGTTTAACAACCAGGTACACCCAATGCAGGCGATGAATCACAATAACGTGGCTAAAGTATGTTGACCAGACCACACACACTAGAAGGTGAAGGGACAACGACCCAATCACTTCAAGCACCATGCAGCATTCTGGCTGAACAGAAAATCAGGTATACCCAATCACTGCTGGGTGAACAGAGGAGTACAATTAAGGATAGGCACCTATAGTCAATCTTCCCCGGCCACTTGTGCAATAGTCAATGATTGGTGCATCCGATCTGCTATAGATTCTTTTCACTCTTCTTCGTGGTATAGTGTTGCTGATGTGTTGCACATTGTCACGCCCTACATGCAAGGTCTCGCGCCAGGATGCAACTTCACACCAGTTGACTAAGTCCTGGGTAGGTGAACAGGTGGATTAGGTGCAAAGAAACGTGCCCAACCATTTATGTTCCGTCCGAGATCCGAACCCGGTATTCCCGATTGTGGTAAGTTATGTGTAAGTTTTCAATGCTGTATACCTGCTCAGTCCAGCTAAAATTGTAACAACGTGTGAGAGTTCTTACGAATAAAATATCTGATTTAGACCATGACCACTATATTGTTTATGAGTGAGCACGTGTTATGACCACAAGGTTGGTTGTTTATGAGCACGTGTTATGACCACAAGGTTGGTTGTTATGAGTAAGCACGTGTTATGACCACAAGGTTGGTTGTTATGAGTGAGCACGTGTTATGGCCACAAGGTTGGTTGTTATGAGTAAGCACGTGTTATGACCACAAGGTTGGTTGTTATGAGTGACCACGTGTTATGACCACAAGGTTGGTTGTTATGAGTGACCACGTGTTATGACCACAAGGTTGGTTGTTATGAGTGAGCACGTGTTATGACCACAAGGTTGGTTGTTATGAGTAAGCACGTGTTATGACCACAAGGTTGGTTGTTATGAGTAAGCACGTGTTATGACCACAAGGTTGGTTGTTATGAGTAAGCACGTGTTATGACCACAAGGTTGGTTGTTATGAGTAAGCACGTGTTATACCATCAATGATGACAGTGGGGAGTGGGGGGAGGGGGACACAAGCAGTGGACGACTAGTCACTGAAAATTGGAATATATGTCACACCTCACGTACACACAACCTCTCCTTCACCAAGCGCATCTCCACAACTGATTATTGCTGCATAACTTCCGTATTTATCAAGGAGAACGAGTTATAGGCTAAAAATTATGAATGAACCGGTGTTAAAGGCTTCACGGTTGCCTGCTCGCGCCACCACGTGCTATAAGCTATCAGGTTGCCTACCTGTAAGCCGGTATATAGATATATATATATATATATATATATTTGAGATTTTTGTTTTAACGTTTAGCCGAATATTATACAATTCGACTGTTACCGTTACAACAAATATATATATAAATCAGATAAAATGACAGAGCAGGATAAAATATCTAAGCCTGATCTAAGGGTATAATCTTGTGAGTATTTCAGTAATAATCAACAGCTCTCCGCAATTCTCACTGTCGATGGCAGTAGTCGAGGATGATATTGCATTGACATGAACCTAATAAGTCTTGTTTGTTGAACATCTCCCATAAATAGCTAGTTCGCGTCGCCTCCAAAATTCGCTCCTTTAGGAATGATATTTAGGTTCCCCTACCAACAATAAAAAAAAAAAAAGGAAAATCCCAACATAGAATGGAGCAAAATACACGACTGGGCCGGAATTCCTCGTCGGTAAACGATGCCCCACCAGTTAACGCTCTCATTAACACTTTGTTGGAGTTAATTAACGTGTGGTGAGGTTGAGAGAGAGGGTAGAGTGAGGACCGTAGTCGTCTGCTGCGGGCGGCCATAGTGGGCGGCGGTGTGGGCGGCTGCACTCACCTTGCTTACTGGCGGGCGGCAGCGGCTTCACCGACGCCGTCAGCATCGGGTAGAAGATTTTAGGCCATAGCACGGCGAAGCAACCCACCACTATGGCCAGCACGAATATAGTCTTCCCCGTGCCGAATTCGCCCGACATTTTGGCGGAGAGGAGCGAGTACATGCAGGCGCCGCCGGCCCCCAGAGGTCACCACTAGCCCTCCCCTCTCTCCCCTCTCCTCCCCTCCCCCACACACACATGTACACCTTACGCACACTTTATAATACAACACTACTCCTCTTCAGAAATAATATACACTTCTTCATAATTAATATATCGCTATTAACACATAAATTAACAATCCAATTACATTTTTGTGAGCTGGCTTGGCCTCAAATTCCCCCGAGACAGAATACATCCGCCTCTATAATATTAGCTGGAAAATGTCCCAAAACTACCCAATATAATTCATTTAAATAATAACTGAATCAAAGAATAATTATCATGACGGTTGTGATTATATTATGCAGGTATTGTGATGTTTGTGAAGGTGGGCGCCCCTGGAGCTATTGATGTAAACACACACACAGTGATGGCCCTCTCCACTGGTGACCTGTCTAAGCTACTCGGGTATATATCATCCCCACACCCATCTAACCCACTCCGTCCCCGTCTATATTCCACTTCTAGGCTCCAGGCTACCTTTTGGTCACTCATAATGGTTCATGTGGTTTGTACAAGTGAGGTTTAGGCTGGGTAAGAGATACGCAGCTTGGGCGACTCTAGGAGATATTTGAGCTCTGGTGACTCATTTAGTGCGAAAATGCTCTAATTGGGATTTCAAATACACTAATATTCAGTATTAGTAAATATGATGGCTGCAGAGGTTTTAGCACCTCTTCCTTTTCAAAGTTTTGGGGTTAAAAGTTTGAGAAGAAGTTGAGCTCGTTCATTATTCAGACAGGATATATGGTCCTAATCAGCAGTTTACACTCAAATATTATGTCATGAACATGCTCTAATTGCTTAATATAGAGGTTGTTTATAAATGCTGCCATTTTGAAGATGAAAACCTCCATATCTCATGGGGTCATTGTGCAGTGATTGCGATGGAGAATCTTGTATAATTATGTCTTCGGAAAGAACGTAACTTGACCTTTGCTATAGTGAAATATGTATACCGATAACCCTTACCTAAACAAGTGAAAAGTAAATACAAACCAATGAAGAGCGGTGTTATGTGCTATTGGCAAAAAGGCAATCTTCCATTTAAACTGTCGTTATGAGTAAGGCTTAAGAATTGGATAAGCTTTTGTAATTTTCAGTGATATGTAATGCAGAAACGTTCATGACTGGCAGTTCCACAAATTTATTTACTGGCAATTTATTATACAAATGTAAAATAAAATTCAACAGGGAGATTTTCATGGAAATCTAAGATGGCAAATATTTTACCTTTTATGGTTATTTTGGCATATATTACTTTTGTTAGGTCAAGTGGTGCTTCCTACACTATAAATTGGTTTGAATAAAATTTGTGGAGTGAACACAAATACAACCATATTATTCATTGACTCCTAAAAATAAAAATAAAGCTGGTAATAAACCCAGCATTTGGAGCCAAGAGCTCACTTTTCATGTATAGTACTGTATACTTAAATTAAAAATTGTTGCACTGCAAACTACACATCTGCTTAATAACTGTCTTTACCCATAATGCTTACATCTTATTTGTAACAAGCATTTCCTCAAAGCAGAGGATTAATTTTCGCTACCATTTGACATTTTCTCACATTCTGTTGAAAAAATGAACGCAATAACTGTGTGAACATTTTATGTATTTTGTGTATACTGTAACATTTTAAGACTGTTATTCCTGAATGTCAACAATCATTAGCATACATTTGGCACCAAAATTACAAGTTTGTGATAATTATTGTGAACATAAAGTTAACTTCCAAAAACAAAGGTTTGTTCATAGAAATGGATACATTTTCAGATTTAATTGAAAGCATTTTTGTTAAAATGCAAGTCTATTGTTAAGACAAAGCTACCCACTTAATGTATAATGCAAATTTCTTTGAACTAAAACTATACATTGTACCAAATTTCAAAGTAGTAGTGGCACTATTCTTGACTTTTATATACTGTCCCTCTGTTTTATACTGCATTTTTTGTCCCTCTAACCCCCTTACAATGTAATGAAAGTTAATGGAAAAACCTGTTGTAGTTTTTTATTAATCATATTGTTACATTTATTTTTTCAGGATTTTATCAGAGGAGTCGGCCGATTCATCAACCTTAGAACAGATAACGCATCAAATTTTTCAAAATTTTACCAAAGAAGATTTTTTCAAATGTAAGTACACTACTGTACTGTATTGAAGGAGATTGTGTTATTATATTTAATAATAAATAATAGACCAAGATTTGAAGAATTTGTAAATCATCGTATGATAAACTTTGAAATAAGTAAAGTAATTCAACAATCAATTACACAATATGGATTTTACACATTGAAGTTTATGCAGAGTTGTAATTGTGCCATATAACAATACAACATTGTTTATTTTTGCAGTGGGGAGTGCCCTTGTGTTTTTGTTACAACAGCCAGACCTCTTACCAAGCCCAGCACAGCGGCTTTCAGCAATAACAATTCTCCATGAGTTGTATCGAGGAGAACCCCCACCAAATAATCCTTTTCTTCCTGTGTTTGTTAACATTTTGGTAAGGGATTATCAATTTATCTTGCAAATGGCTTATACTGTCCTGTTTACTTGTAAGTGTACTATTGTATTCATGAGCTCTCCAGTTATTGTATATACTGTACTGTCAATTCAGTATGTATACAGTACTTCAAAAGGATATACTGTACTGTATATTAAAACAGTTTTGTTTATTATTATGTACATTCATATGAACATTTGTTCATGCTCAATGTTACTAAAATTTTCTAATATGCCCACTAGAATATTTGTGTTCTTGTGTAAGACCATACTTTGGCAGAATTCATTCTCGTGGTTGAATCTGCAGGTGATGACCAGGTGTGCCCCACCAGGCATGTACCTTACAAGGAACTCCCACTTACACACTGTTTTATACATTTTCTAACATTATACAAAAATACAACAAAACAAATTTAATAAGCTTAAAATAGGGTACCTACTATACATAAGACTAAAATTATATGTTAATCTTACAAGTAATAAAACCATATGGCAAGCTTGAGTCACCCATTTTTTTAATGCTTTTTCAAGCCAGAGATGTACTTCTCGGCTTTCTGCAAAATTAGGTTAAACTTAGTTAAGTACTGTATAGGATAAATTAAAATAACTCTCATAACATTAGGAGCAAATTAAAATTTAGCAACTTGTTCTGAAACCAATCTGCACATAACAAATTTAAATGTGTGAAGTAATGTATGTAATCTACTTTAGTAGGAAATAAATCTTCATTAAAAAACTAATTATTTTTACTGTTCTCTTTAGCACCCCCCTGATGACATAGCTAAAGGAACAGGCAAGAAATTGGAATATGCTGGCCATATACCTAGAATTAGCCCACAGGAGATCGTCTTTCTGTCCACTCTTATTACCGACAAAAATAGCAAAGAGGTATGTTTTATTCGGCACGGCTATGTTTTGTGAATTTAGAAATAGACTAGATCTTGACTAAATAGTCATTATTTCTTTTATTTTGCACTCCACCATTTTCATATGTTTTGTATTATTCATCTTATCTACTTATTCTTCACTGTATCTGTCCAAGTACACCTTCTGACTCCTGATACTATGAATGTTTGTTTTCTTGCTTCTGTTTGTTTAATCTTATTTTAGTTTTTAGTTAAAAATTTTAATAAGTGTTAATAAATGTAAAATAGAGTACCTGAGAATGCTTCAGCAGTTTAACTATATTATTTTATTTTTGTCGTTTACTGATCATACATAGCCATGATGGTATTTGATTAGTCTTAATGCATCACATTGTAAAAAGGTATCCATAAGTTTGTTTTTCATGTTGATATCTGCTGATAGGCTATGCATCTTTCATTCAGAGCAATTACTGAAGTTATTATATTTAAACAAAATTGTCTCTCTCATCCTTGAATAATGGGGTGGGGAACATACGCATTAAACAGTAAATCATTATTATCCTGCTTCTGACTTACGTGAAGCAGGAGCTGAATTTTACCACTTTTACTATTTGGTCTTCCTTATTTTCCAGTTACTGAAGAGAACTGCAGCACAAATTATGAATCTAGATGTTACAAACCACCCACCGATTGACACTACTGCCCTCAGACTAAGCTTAGCAGAATTACTTTCAGAACGTCCAGATACAGCCAAGAGTGCCATCCCAATTATCTATTCCCACCCACAGCCATCACCCAGCTCAGGGTATACCATGCCAATATTAAGTCTTTTAGTTTAATTCATTATATATTTATTAGTTTATATTTTGTCTATAAAATGAGTGATTGTTGGGTTTAGTGAAATGCATAATTTTTTCTGAGTAATCACAGACAGTTCTTCTCTGAGATAAGAATCCACTATCATTATCTGGATTCATGAAGAGTCGGGCATGACAACATTCAATTGTTGATGATAGGGAAACATTGGAAGAAAACTCCAGGCTTCACCAATCCCTACAGTAATTGCTGGTGAAGTGGTTATGGTACTGTGTACACCAGGGAGTGAGCCTTGGTAATTCAGGTTCAAACCCTGATCTGTCACAGTTGTTTAATGAAGCTAAATTTGTCTAAAACCACTTTTGTTCTGTATTTTTTAGCTTTTACCCTGTAATTTCTTTGGTAATAATACTTAAAGGCATTTCAGGTTATTAAGTGAAGTTGGTCAAGTGAAGAGAACATGTGAAACCTTGCTTTGTGGTGCAACTCCGACTTTAGCCCAACAGTACTTCACTCCAGAGATTATAAGACTAACTCCTCCACTACACATAGCCGAAGATGAAGTTAGTAAAGTTTGTGTTTTATTAAAGAGTGTAAAGTTACCATCTCGATGAATAGGATACATTTTCATTAAAATTCAGGAAATATATGTAGAAAATATCATTCCTGTCCTGTTCTAAACTTGGTTTTTGGGTCCAATTTATCTGAACTCGGGTCTCTCGGATGCACGTGGTCACTTTGCCCATAGTATGCCCATATTGAATGATGAATCTACTACTTATCACTTTTAGTAGTCAGTGGGTTAAAGTTGAATGCCTCCCAATGATGACAGTAGTTATGTTGAGTTATGTTATGTTGAGCATTCTGACTTTAATCCCTGTTGTGATTGATAACCTTTATTATTTGGTTATAAAGGGGCTGGCAGCATTAGGGTTATCTTGTGATTAGTTGTTCTGTAAGCCACTTGAATTATCTTATTTGCACTGGCAGTATGTATTTTAGGCAATAGGACCAGATTGAATCATTAGATATAGGTAGATGGTTGGGAGATAGATTTATAAACTTGTACAGTAGTTGGATGGATGGAAGCATATAAATATGATTTAGAAGTAGATGTAAGGTACAGATAGGGTTTCAGCAGAACCTTCAATATTTATGGTAAATGCCATAATGCCAAAATATGACAAAATAAGTGATGTGGTGTAGGGGCCTTTGGCTAATAGCAGCACAAAAACCCTTGAAAATATGCAAAATTCCGTGCTGCAGCTTGCATAGCCTTAATGTAATATCTGCCATGGATAAACTAGCACCAACACATAAACACTTAACAGTTTATTAATTATATTGTACTTAAATAACTGTTACATGCAAATACAATATTAATATATATCTGTAGTTCCAAACCAAAGAATAATGCAATATTTTGTGTTTTTTATCAATAAGTTTGTTTAATGTAATTGAAGCTCATATTTAGTACAGAATATATTTCTCCCAACAGCTAGTATGGATAACCCCAGTCGACCGGGCCGAATACAAAGTTATGTACGATTCAAGTATGTGTGTCCTTAGTGGTGGTGATGCCGAGGCCAAGCGTCTAATGGCTAAGGCCTTCAAGGAAACATTATCATTACCTCAGCAACAGCACCTTCTTGCAGAACTAGATAAGGACCCCAGAATGGTATATCACACTGGTCTAACTCCTCCCAAGGTGAATAATGTAGTAGTATTTTTATTTGCATCCTTAGAACTTCTCACTGTACAGAAAAGGAACAGTCAAAGAAGCATATTTACACAATTTAATTGTAAAAATCTAATATTTTTTATTTTTTTTATTATCAAAACATCTAAACTTCATTTTCATGGATTATTTATGCAGAGACTTTTTCTTGCCCATCCATCCACTTGTATTTGTTGGTAGAACAATGACCTTGTTTTCTGGGAGGACTTTCCTTGTTGACTACCTGGAGCTAGCTGCCCAGATAGCTCTACACAAATTATGCTGCACCAGGCCCTTGCAAGTTGCAAAATGCCTACTGCTGACCAGAAGCTAAAACCTGGTTCACTCACAGGGAGCAAGGGATACTAGATCACCCAAACCAAGAGGAAAAGTCACCAGAAGGGTAAAGTGCACCAAAACAAACAACCTCAATGATAATATTAGCAACCCTGAAAACTAGGAACACATTAGTTAGGTTATTACCACTGCTAGTTCCACACTTCCATCACCAGATGGCAACCCAGAAAGCCTTAGTCACTGGATCAGTCATGTGGTAGATGTGGACCTGTCTACTACCTCTCACTTGGTGCTTGGTCACCTGGTGGAAGTCTCGGGTCCGTCTGGTACGAGCGTCGTTGGCCCTCCTATAGCTCATTATTTGGAATTTTCTTCTGGCTTTACAGGGTGCATCCCCATAGCATCTTCCTTCTATCACACTCGCCCTGTTGGGGCTGCCTTGATCCAAGGGTTGGGTCTTGTGTTAGGCTCTCTTGCCTTTCAGGGTTGTTAGTCAGGTTCTCTTCACTGGGTGCCCTGCACAGTTTGAGTGTTTCACCACCTTGTGGCTGGTTCTGTGGCTTGTTTTCTTAGCTCCTAGCTCTAGGATCCGGCTCTCTTCCACCTGCCCCCAGTGGTTCATTGTCTGAATTGAGCGGAAATCACTTTGGTTCCTTCATCCGCTGAGCTGGGCTTTATGTTTGGCTCTTTTTCTGGCATTTTGTGGTTTTTAGTTCTCTGCGTGTTTCATGTGTGGGGTGTGTCCTGTATTATAATGAAATGCCCCTCTTACTACCATCCCATTGTTACAGAGTGGACAGTTACCGATATGTCCTTCCATTGAACTTGCAAGATGTTTTGCTATCTTCAGGTGAACCTCTTTATGTTGGAAGGAGCTTCCTTCCTATATCATCACTTCTCAGTTCATGAGGTTCTCATGGCGAATGACTTTTAGCCACTCTGGGGTCAGTGGGGTATATCTCCCTTCCCTCAAGTGCAGTTGCTACTTGATCTTTCCAAATTGAAAATGTTTTTGGCAGAATGATCCTTCTGGATCCTTGGGGCCAACTAACCCTACCCAACTGGGGTTAGTTAGCCGGCTCGGGAGGTCTGGGACCCCTCCCCCCTTCCCTCTCCCAGGAAGGAGGGGGAGTTGTGCAGACAGCGGCACGGCAGCTGTGGTGACGTCATGCTTGTTGTTGATTGGGGAGTTCTGCTTGCTAGTTCAGCTTTTGGTTTGCAATTTTTAACCGGCTGTAGTTTGTTTTGGAATTCCTACCTTTCTGGGTGCCTGACCTGGTAGATGGCAGACATAGACTGCTTACAATTACATAAGGATGTCTATAGGCCATTGCTCCTCGGGCCTCTCTTGAGGGAACCAGGTTCCTGCTCTGGTCCCCAGTAGGCTTAGAACTCCATCGATAGACTGTTGCCACGGTCTAATATATATACACATCGGCCCAGTATAGCTCTGGGAAGCCTCCGGATCTCACCCAGAGAATGGCGTTTCATTACATTCAACGCTGGTTTTTTATAATATTTTGTTTTGTTGGGCCTTCCTTCAGGGTGCAGGTTGAGTAGCTTCATGCTTTCCTTTACAAACAAAGATTTTGTTCTTTTGGCCTTGGTGGGTGGCTTCTTTATTTGCAACCTTCTCCATCTTTTCTGAGTACGTATGAGAGAGCTGACTTCGTACATTATTTGTTGGTTCATGGTTTGCTCAGCTGGGGGATGCATCATTTGCTGTGCCTAGTTTCAGCAATTCACTGGGATGCTTTTGGTGTCCTGTTGTTTGCTAACCTTGTCTCCTTGGTTCCATGTTCTAGTGCCCCTGTGTCTCGTGTTGTCTGCAGTGCCATAAGTTTAGCAATCCTGTGGACTGCCTTTGGGTTTGGGTTGTTCACAAGTTTGTGGCTCTGTCTGCTTTCTTTTCTAATGTGACTGGGGCTGATACTCTGGCTTCTGGATTTTGGCACACTATTTGGATGTTGGTGGCACAATATCTCATCAACGTGTTTGGTCTGTGCCGGGCTTGTGTGCATGAGTTAGGATTACCTGATCTTGCTGTTTCCCCACTTTGGAGATTACTGGTGTTAGTTCTCCACCTCTGGTGTGTGTTTTTGGTTTGTTTCTCACGTTGAGATAGCTCCAGGGAGCCAGAGAGAGCCCACCCCAGAAAGAAGTGTTTTAATACATTTAACACACTGGGTTTTTACAGGGTCAGCATTTAAACCTTGATGGTCCAAGAGGTTGGGTATTGTTCTTTCACTCTGCTCTCAAACCACTTGTATTCAGATTCAGATGGAGAAAACAAACAATAATACTGTATTATACCAGGAAATCTATCAGGAAATAACCACAAATTAGAGACATATTTAGATTCAGTAACAAATTTTCACTCAACCAACAGATAACAGAGCCATCTAGGGCTGAAAATATTCTAGAAATGATCTTCACAATCAATGATGAAATAATCAGGAACGTTACGATCTCGGATACCACATACTCACATTGCAAGCTCATTGAAGTGCAAACTAACATCAATACCCTTAAAAGATCATAACAAAATTATCAAGCAAGAGAAGTTATTCAATAAATTCAATTTTATTTATAAAAGGATGGACTGAGAAAAATAAACATGGAATTTACAAATATTCAATGGAGGAACTGTTCTAAATAATAAAAATCCCACACAAGGAATAGGACAATTGACTGCCAAAGCACATAAAGTCCATCTGAAACATGTCCCTTTGTGGAATACCAGAAAGAGAACCAGCTTAGAAAGAGACTGCAGATGGCACTACAGAAAAGGGTAAAAAATAACAAATGCTTAAGCAAACATGACTATCCCCTACAAAGAAAGAATAATTTAAACTGAAAATGAAGACAAAGAACTGAGACTGAAGCAATCATATGAGATTGAAGAAATGAAATTAGAACAGAAAATCATACAAAAGATAAAGAAAATTCCAAAATAATTGTTCACATATGCAGAACCAAAATCAAAAACCTCTCTCAGTATTGGACCTATGGTTACAAGTCAAGTTTCATACACAGAGGATGACAAAGCAATTAGTAAAATTCTAAAAAAGCAGTATGAGGACATGTTTAGCACCCTAATAAGCAGCATGAATGTGGAAGTTCCAGAAAGCATCCTTATGATTGATATTCATACCCCTGAAAAAAAAATCAACACTAACTGCAGATTTTGAAAGAAAAATCAACTGCATGCCCATGCACTCGGCTCTGGGTCCAGACTCCTGGAACCAATATGTATTTATAAAGAAAGTACCAGTAGCACAAGCACCCAGTGTAGTGTGGAGAAGAAGCTTTGACACTAGGAAAATACCAGAAGCAGAATTCTATTATATTACAGATTATAATAAACGTTTTTGAGAGCGTGATCAGGAGTCAGATCTCCAGTTTTATGGAGACCAATGACCCGCACAACCCAAGCCAACATGAATTGAAAGCGGGAAGATCATGCCTTTAGTAGTTACTTGAGCACTTTGACAAAATCACTGATGCATTAGAAGAAAAACAGAATGCAGATGTGGTATACATGGACTTTGCAAAGATATTTGATGAATATGACCATGGAGTGATAGCACACAAACTGAGGTCAATAAGAGTAATAGGTAAAGTAGGGTGTTGGATATTAAATTTTCTGTAAAACAAGAGTAGCATTCAATCAAATAAAATCTAGTCCAAGCATAGAGAAAAGTTTTGTATCTCAGGGCACAGTCCTTGCACCGCTGCTTTTCCTTATTCTCATATCAGATATAGACAAAAATAAAAGTCACAGCTTTGTGTCATCTTTTGCTGATGACACAAAAATCAGCATGAAAATTAGTTCCATAGAATACATTGAAAAACTACAAGCTGATATTAATATGTATTCGATTGGGCAGCATAATGTTTATGCTGCCTGTTTATGCTGTTTATACATGATGTTTAACAGTGATAAATTCTGGGTATTTAGGTATGGTAAAAATTAAGACCTAAAACAAAAAACAGAGTACATGGCATTATTAAATCTGCCCATAGTAGAAAAGCAACATGTAAAGGATCTAAGAGTAATTATGCCTGACAACTTAAAGTTTATCAAGCAAATACAGTTTTAAATTATATTTTTTATTTATAGTATGTGTGTATGTTGTTGTAAAAAAAATTACCAGTATGATCATTGTTGGACTTCCTCTGTAAGAATTCTGCTTATCCAAATTTCTGGCCTGTCTGGAATTATCCATATAATTCAGGTAAGTGAGCCTAGACAGCATAGTGTCAGCTAGAAAAATGATAGAATGGATTATGAGAATTTTCAAATCCAGGGATCAAAACTCCCAGAGCCCCATCCAAGTTCAATCTATGGACATATCCTTTCTGAGTGCTTTACTTCATAGTCATACTGGCTTAGTGCTTTTTTCCTGATGATTACCTTACAATACCTTTCATCACCCAGAATGTTAAATAATATGTTGGGTTTTTGTGATGTCTATGTAAATATAAGAACATGTATTGAACAAAGTGAGAATAGCTTGAGGTACCTCATTCTTTTAGTGTAATTATGTCTCGATAAACTTGTTTCAGTTTCAAATACCTTTCATTCTTGGTTTTAGTCCTACTGTTCTTCAGTTCACTCCTCATTTAAATTCTTGCATTATTATACTTCCTAATGATACTTAACCAATACAGTACTGTATTTTAATTTTCATTGTGGTGTAGAATGCTCCGAATATTTAATTCAGATCCTAATAACCCACAATTACCTCTTTTTCTGTAAGGTGTACACAAGTTGGCTAATTGGTTATTTGAACATTTATTAAGTACATGTTAATATCTGCAGCTGCCTGACCTGGTCGAACACAACCCGCTCATTGCCATCGAAGTTTTACTGAAATTAATGCAGTCAAGCCAGATCACCGAGTATTTTAGTGTTCTTGTCAACATGGAGATGTCTTTGCATTCCATGGAAGTAGTAAATAGGTAAGATCAACTAAACAAAAATTGCACTTCAAATAATGGTAGAGAAATAATTTCTTTGGGTCATAGATACTGTACACAGATTATTTGAGATGTGAATGATGTTAATGTTGTATTATGGGATATCTTTTTTGAGAACTGTATCACTAAAACAAATTATGGGAAAACAAATAACATAGGAACTAAAACTACTCAATTATTCCTTATTAAGACTACTCAATAGCTCGGTTGATAGAGCTTTGGTCTCTCACACATGGGGCCCAGGGTTTGAGCCTCTTAGAGCCCAGGTGAATGGAACATAGGCATTAGTTTGAAGGAGTGTACTTGCTGTGTTAGGAATGAGAAGCATAAAGTAAACTATACACATACTCCACTTACTAAATATAACTTAGATTGATTAATTCCATGAAATAGGCTGGATGAACATATTAACAAGTTATAAGGGAATTCAAGATCGTGAGTGGTTGAAATAAAGTATTTTTCATTAAAATTATATTCAAAGTTACCACTTTGTTCTTTCCCGTAAAACCTGTAATCATGTGTACTCCAAAGCTGGAGCAGGAGTGCCCCCCAAAATTCACTATTATTCCTAGGTAACCAGGGTCTAAGTTCTGCTTTTGTTAGCTAGCAAATTGTTTCTTTGGAAATTTTAGCTCTGCTACCTGCCTAACAGGGTGTCAGCATCAGCTGTATTATTTGAATTGTCTGGAGGTGAGGAGAGAGAGAGAGAGAGAGAGAGAGAGCATGGAAATTTTTAACTTAGCATTGATAAATTTTTAATAAAGTTTGCATGATTTGTTTAAGGTTCTTGAGTTTTTCCTGGTCACATATTATATGAGAAAGTCACTGGTTTTAATGAGCTTTAGTGTACTAACTTGCCTCAAAATGATTTACATAATAATGTACATTTGCCCGGTAGGTTAACAACTGCTGTGGAGCTGCCATCGGAATTTGTACATCTGTACATTAGTAACTGCATCAGTACCTGTGAGACCATAAAGGATCGCTACATGCAAAACAGACTTGTTCGACTAGTGTGTGTGTTCCTGCAGTCTCTCATACGTAACAAAATAATCAATGTTCAGGTAAGCTAATGTTTTTTTGTTTTGGCTCAAGGAATTTGAACACTTTCAGTTTTTGTAAAAAAAAATCTTATCAGAACTGGAGTAATAACCCAACTTCAGATTACAGATATATTGTATCTTAGTTTATTTCATTTATTAAACAACCTATACCTATCCTGTGAGTGGTAGGTGATAGTGGAGAAATTACAGGGACACATAATGGGCACAGAAACTGGGCCCCCCAATATTTATTTAGCTAAGCAGGTTTTGGCATTGATGCGCTGGTTACAGAATTTGTTAATATTTACATCAACAGTCTATTCAGTGTTTTGATTACTTTAGCTTAATTAGCAGGTCACATAATGTGTTCTGAAACTGAGCTCCATAATTGTTTAGGCTAAGCAATTACCATTTGTTTTTACTACTTAGTTAAATTTGCCTCAAATTTGTGATAAAGATACATGTGTAGTGATCTATTTACATCAATATACTGTAACTAATGCTATGATATATGGTAAAGAGAAAAGCAAGTATGAGACTTGTAGGCAGTGAAAGCTCACAGACAGTCTGTGCACTATCTACAATGGGCAAAAGTGATATCTGGTGAGAATTTTGGGTAATATGTCATCTTGGATAAAATACATGAACATGTGAACATTAGTAATATAGTTGTCTCTAAACTCTTAGAAAGGAATAGTTTTGTGGCAAAGTTTATATTTGGTCAGATCTACTTTGCATCACCTGTTGGTGATGCAAACTGAGTGGTATTTGTAGCCGAGCCTAAGCCAAACATTATTGTATAATAACGTTTAGAAGTCTACTGACTTCATTGGATAGACACGTGATGATAGACAAGATAGATTTTGCAAATATCATTTTGTCTTGGGGTCTACTAAATTTTGTTAGAATTCTTTGAATATTACTGCCCTCGGTCAATCAAAGGTAATCAAAGGTTATAATCAACTCCCTCTTTAAAAGCATATACTTTGGCTAAATCATCAATTCCATTACTACCACCACCCTGATGATCACAGTTGAGGTGGAGAGACAGTTACTAAGACAAGATAGGAGAGCAATAAAGTAAAATATTGATAATCTGGAATTCTAATTCAGTAACCAGCAGCTTCCATAAAACACAGATATTTAAAGAAAAAACATTCAGTATTAAATTTGTTCTTATGTCTGTCACTAGTTTCAAAATCAAAAATAGGATCACTACATACAAAATTGTATTAGGAAATGGACCAAGTTCCCCATAGGACAACCCCCTGAACCTCATCCAGGAACCAACAAAATTAACAAGGAAAATTAAAAAAATTGCAACTTGAAGAACAAGAAGACATAGGTTCAAATTAAAGAAACAAAGCTGCCGAAAAACCTATGGAAAGTACACTTTTGCAGAGTGGCAACCGGTTGGAAGACGTTAAGTGAAAAGGTGACGGATGGCAAAACCATCAGTACTGGTAGTTTCAAAGTGTCACATGACAAAGGATATTGGGAAGATAAGGCACTACAAGCGTAGCTCTCATCCTGTAA